GATGATCCGCAGATACAGACCTTCTGCACACACATTCCACTTTCTGTTGTTCTGCTTCTAAACTGTTGAACTCAATTCCACCTTAGACGGCAACCTTAGTGCTCAGTTTTAAGAAACATTTGAAAACGTATCTCTTTAACTTAGAGTTTAATTAAATTCAACCTCCCTTTTGGTATTTATCTTCTCAATCTGATCTGTCTGCTTTATATGATTTTAACTGAATACTCATAATTTCTTCTATTTGCTGTTAAGCTTAATCACCTGCCTCTAAAGCAGTTGAGCTGCCATCAGTATGAAAATGTCTATAAATAAAGATTAATATTACTATTATTATTTTTTAATTGTTATTATTGATGTGAAAGGGTACATTGTAGAAAAACTTACACACAGATTTCTTTACAGTGGTGGTGATAGAAACCAGGGGTCACCATGACTACGGCACAAATATAGCCATTTACTATCCAAAACCACCAGTGAACCTACATGTGTCTTCTGAGTTTCATATGTAACGTTGATGATGGTAAAATAGTGGAAAATCTGAAATAATACGTTTTCTTTGGGGACTTTTTTGCCTCACAATGCCCTCCATGTAACTCTCCACCATGAATGGGTTAAAAAAATAAATTTTAGGCCAAAATCTTCTCTAATACATCGTAAAACAGTGTCTCAGACAGCAGGCAGTGAATTCATAACCATTTCTTGTAATAACTTTCTGTGAGGGAGCTGTTAGAGGTGGACGTCTTGTTCCTATCACCACCACTGTGAACAATTCTGACACAGTAAGTTTCTCTAGAACAGAGCATTTCACACCAAACTGCTCTGAACGACATCTTAACCATTTAAGTATGTAGAAATTTTGAAAAGTCGGTGGAGTTCCCCTTTATAGAATCTCAGACCCTTATGTTGACTGGCCTTAGTTTACCTTAGAAACAAACTACACTACTTGGTGGAAGAACTGTTTATTGCAATTATTATTATTAATAATTCCTCCTGGTGATTTTCATTGAACATTTGTGTTTTTATTATAAAGTATTTTGTTTATATTTTATAAAAGCCACTCAAGGCTACACATCAGTGATTTTACCAAGAAAGTTAAAGAGGCACTCCACTTAGTGTCTCATTACTAATAGTTAGGTGTAAAACTAAGAATGAAAATGGTTCAATGAGTTAAAACTTCTTTTTTAACAAAAAAATAAAAAATAAATAGTTAACCATGAACAGGAATAGGCAGCATAAAATCATGCTATAAAGCTTCCTGCTTATTCCTGCTAATTTCTGCTAAGTGAAATTGAATCCTGCTTAATTAAAAGAATCACTTTAGTAAATTGAAACAAATGTCTTATCACCAATTAACTGTAAATGATAATAGTACACTATACTAAAAATTTTAAGAATTTTTTTGGTGAGAAAAGTACAGGAAGGAAACATCATATACCATATCGCTGTTGTGGGAAGAAAACCACGTATCTCCAAAATGGTAACTTTACAGGAAAAGGAAAAAACCTACTTTACTGTCAATGTAAGTCAATGGATCCAGACTTCTTTCTGAGTCATTTTGGGCTGTTTCTTTTGGTCCATTCTTCCTGACATTTACATACAATGTAAAGGACAACAGGTGTTTTCAAATTATGTCAAAAACTGAAATCTCGCTCTTTAAAAAAAAAAAACACACCTAATTACACTGCACTCTCTCTTTCTCTTGCTCCATCCCAAGCCCAAAAAGTCTTGAGTTTGGCTGCATGCATTCGGGCTACGGACCGCTCTATCGGAGCATTTCCAAGGAAAGAGTTGGCCCACTGCCACCGAGCCAAAGAGTGTGGAGGTTGCCACCTCAAGGCCAGCAATTCCTTGGCAGCAGTGAGTCCAGCCCATAGAATAAGTCTCTGTTGCAGAGACATCTGCAAGGAGAAGTCGTCATTAAGTAGAAGCAAAGTCGGTGAAAGTGTGACACTAGTTTCAAGTATGTTACTGAAAGTTAGAGATACTTGCTTCCAGAAACCGACACCATCGGGCCAATCCTGATACATATGTATAAATGATCCCAAGGCGTTGAGTGGACATAGTGGGCATAAGTCACAGTTAGGGGATGTAATGGTCTTCATAGGGTGATGCCTACTGGGGATCAGGTACATCCTGTGAATGAATCTGTAATGTATTAACTGAAGATCAGGATTTTTAGGTGCACTATACAATTTTTTTCCACACTGTGCTCCAACAAATCTCTTCATCATTTACAGGAGATAAATCCCTACATCATATAAGTTCTACCAGTAGTGGTCTACAAGGTTCAGAGATTGAAGCAAGTATTTTTTGTTTTGCTCCCGCCAACCACCCCCCTCTTCGGAGGACTATTAGGACTTTGTTATTTATTTTGTAATACTGCAAAATATTACATACGCATGTTGGCACAGTCATAGGTGGGGAGAAGGTAAACGTACAAAAAAATTATAGTAATACAAATCAAAGAGCAAAAAAAAAAGGAAGAAAAGGAGAAGGAAAAAAAAGGAAAAAAAATACCAAAATATTTGTAGGTACACCATATTTTTAGTAATGATTGATTGATTAATAGCATTGACCTTTGCTAGCTTTGTGTGTTTGTGTGTGTGTGTGTGTGTGTGTGTGTGTATGTATATGTATGTATTCCAATGTGTGATCGTATGGGGGGTTTCTAGTTTCTGGGATGGCTCTTGGGGGGTCAAATCTTGTGACTAGGAGTTTTGGAGGTTACTGTAGGGCTTTGCAGGGCTTTTATCAGAAGTGTCCAGGCTGGTTCTGGGTTATTGTTTTTGATATTGATGGATTCAGAGAGTTTTTCCTTTGATAAATAATCCATTAATAGTTTTTTCCAGTGGTTAATGCTAAGGTTATGTTTTGTTTTCCAGTTCATTCTAATGTTATGTTTTGTTTTCCAGTTCATGAGTATGGTTTTCTTGGCGATGGTTAGCGCTATGAGAAGCATTCTATTATTTTCTTTTGTCATATTGGTTGTTGATATATCACCTAGTAGGCAGAGTGATGGTGATGGTTGGATGTGACTGACAAAGGCATGGAATAGGACAGTGATGATTTCTTGCCAAAACTGATGAAGGGGTGTGCAGTGCCACACGGCATGGATATAGCTGTCATTTGTGTTTTGGGTGCATTGTGTACAGATTGCTGTGTTTGTGAATCCCATTTTAAACATTGTGTGTGGTGTAGTGCACACTGTGGATGATTGTATACTGAATAAGTTGTAAGTTGGTGCTCTTGATCATGTGTTGGTTATTTTTGCATGTCTGAATCCAGAAATCTGCATCAGGAGCTAATGATAAGTCTTCCTCCCATTGTCTGGTTGGTATAGCGATTGTGAGGTTTGATTTAGCTATTATTTGATATATTTTGGATAGTAGTTTTTTAGTAGTGGTGATGTTAATAAATTCTGAGATTGGAATCGGTAAGTCTAGTGTTTTTGAGTTGATTTTTGGACATATTACTGATCTTAGTTGTTGGTATTGTAAAAACTGAGTGCTCCTGATATCATATTTCTGGATAAGTTGTGGGAGTGACATAAAGCTATCATTGTGATAAATATGAACCAAATATTTTTGATGAAAATGATATACTGATATATAACTGATAAATGATACAAATTTCTACAAATGATAAATATTTATCTTGAACTTCAGAATGTACATACTACTTCATGTAAAAATGAACAGTTTACTTAAATTCTGTTTGTACACTTACCTTAAAGTGAGTTATTTGTAAACAGAATTTCTCCATCATTAAAAGGTTGAGAGATAAACAGAGTCATTCAGAGTGGTTTGGTATGAAATGCTCTGTTCTGGAGAAACTTACTGAGTCAGAATTGTTCACAGTGGTGGTGCTAGGAACCAGACGTCCACCTCTAAAAGCTCTGTCACACTGTTAGAGATAGGTGCTGTGCAGGTACATTTTTTGTGCATCAAGGTGCAAACAATGTAAATGTTCCCTCAAAAGTTCAACAGTGGTTTTAAGGTCCAATTGAGAACCTTAAATAATTTTTTCCAGGTGAAAAGTTTGTGTTTGTACCTTTTCATAAACGAATGTTTTAAAACAGAGTAATAAAATAAAAAGCCTGGAGACGAGATGAGGTGTGTGGAGTCGGTACAACTTAGAAAATATAATTTCAGTGGATTATGGTACAGTTATGTTCCCTGACTAAAGGTACTGAGATGTACCCTCGAGGGTTCCACCCCAGTGACAAGAGGGGCACTGCCCCGGTGACAGTTTAGTACCTTTTTTGCACAGAAAGTGATTACATGAAATGGTTATGAATGCACTGCTTGACATCTGAGACATTGTTTTATGACAGTTTTGAAATATATTTTAGCATCAAGCTTATTTTTTTCATTCCTTCATGGTGGAGGGATACATGCAGGGCATTGTAGATAAGCTGTGTCCAAAATACTAAATAGTGTGTTACTAATACGCCACCATTAGAAGTCCATTCAGTAGTTTAGTGTGTAGTATAGTAGTATGCTGTTTTGGACGCAGCTCTAGTTTTCCAGTTTTCCCACTGTTTCACCATCTTCAACGTAACATATAAAAGCTCAGAAGACTCGTGTAGGTTCACTGGTGGTTTTGGATAGTAAATAAAGTGTCTTAATTTGTGTTGTAGTCATGGTGACCCCTGGTTCCTATCACCACCACTGTAAAGAAATCCGAGTCAGTAATTATCTCTACCATGAACCATTTCACATCAAAACGCTGGTAGTGGCTTTGTTTACATCTCCATAACTGAATTATGCAGAAATTTGGAAAAATCGGTGGCATTCCCCTTTAATAAACTTAATTTCACAATACAATAAAACACATAATATTAAAAAGCACTTCATTAATACCATTAAGAATTATTATTATTATTACTATTATTATTATTATTATAGACAAGTTTCGTTATCTTCTTGTGCTGTTTTCATGTTCTCGACGCTCATTGGATGAGAGCCATGCTACGTGAGCTTTGTGCGTCGCATACGTCATATGCAGCGGCGAAGCTGCGGCTGTGAGAACTGCTGAAGCTACGATTTGTTGACGCCGTTTTAAAAAGAAAAAAGCGGTTGTTTTTCTTCATTAATGGCAGCGTCGACGTTGTGCCGCTGTTGACTCGTAAACTAAACCGTGATCGTGTGATTTCAGAGCGGAGCGCAGACTTTTTTAGCCGCTTTCTCCGCGGACACGTGGGCTGCAGGACACGCTCAGCAGAGACGGAGCCGCGATGAGGAGGTCTTTAACTTCACCCTTTACTCTGTAAACGCTTTACACACAACGCTTAACCTGGCCGCACCGTCACTGCGCGGCTCATACGGTGGAAGGAAATATGGACTCATATAGACGATAAAAACATTACATATTAGTGCTGTCGCTCCTTTCAAATGTTTATAATGCATAAGTTAAAGGGGAATTCCACCGATTTTTCAGAATTCCAGCATAATTAAATGGTTGAGATGTAAACGGAGTTATTCAGAGTGGTTTGGTGTGAAATTGTTGATTGTACAGACTCAGATTTCTTTACAGTGGTGGTGATAGGAACCAGGCGTCGCCATGATTACAACACAAATATAGCCATTTTATTTACCACCAGTGCTACACGTGTCTTCCGAGTTTTCGTATGGAATGTTGATGATAAAATAGTGGAAAATCTGAAAAAAATAAGTTTTCTGTTGGAAATATTTTATCCCACAATGCCCTGCGTGTATCCCTCCACCATGAATGTATAAAAAATAAGCTTAAGGCTAAAACCATATCTTAAAACTATCATAAAACAATGTCTCATGCATCGGGCAGCAAATTCGTAACCATTTGCTTTTAAAGGTGGACGTCTGGTTCCTATCACCACCGCTGTAAACAATTCTGACTCTAAGTTTCTCTACAACAGAGTATTTCACACCAGACCACTCTGAATGACTTTTAATTATGGAGAGAATTTTGAAAAGATTGGTGGATTTCCCCTTTAGCCTTTGGGTTTATCTTTGGATAGCAAGAATAATGCAGAATACTGTTTCCTGATTCTCAGCCTTTGAATCTTCTACATGTAAACGAGATCTGCTGCCTGTCATTCATGTCTTTAAGGCTTATATCTTAGATTGTAACAACCTCTGCTCTTCTGGGAAGGCTTTACACTAGATGTTGGAACATTGCTATGAGGATTTTATTGAGCATTAGTGAGGTCAGGTACCGATTTTGGATGGTCAGTTGTGAATCACTCCAGCTCATCCCAAAGGTACTGGATGGAGCTCCATCACTCCAGAGAACACAGAACACAGAGCTTTATACTGGGAAAGCTCAGTGATATCAGAATAATTTCAGTGTCGACAGGTAATTGCTCAAAAAATTATCAAACAGATTGGAATGTTTAGATTTGGCGGATAGTTCAAGCTGATGCTCCCCACCGTGTTTATGATGGGAGAGCAGACCCTTTAGCCAGTGCTGCTTGACTGTGCTGAAATGTCTGTGTTTTAATTTTCTCATATTTGTTAACCTATTCTGGGTCGTATTTGGGGCGACGCCACAGACGTCTGTAACCGGAAGTCCAAGATACCGTTATTGTTGATGATAGCCAATGCGGGTATATAACATAACAGAATTAGCTGTCTCCTCCAAGCATGTTGAGATGTCCAGTGATGTCACATGTCTCGAGGAAGTGTACACTAGCCTTCGCCCACCCAGCATTGCAGCATACTGTGATATTGGAGACCTAGCTAGAGGGTGGAATTGGTAGTGACCAAACTGGGGAGAAAATTGGGGAAAAAATAAAATAAAATAAATGTCATATTTCTCTGTAATGTAAATTATGATGACTCTGGTTCTAAATTCTACATTTTATGAGTGTTTATGCATGGTCATTTCATTTACGAGACAAATATATAATATTGGATACTGCCATTGGCCTACAGTTCCTGTATAATCCTTACAGTATCCACACTCAGTATCCTTGCTTCACACCCCTCTAGCCCACACTTGGCATTGGGCATGGTGACCTTGGGCTCATGTGTGGCTACTCCAGAGCATCCCATTGCATTGGCCAGAGCTTTTCTGTGGAGATTATACAAGCTGTTGTACGCCTGTGTTAGCAGTGGGCGCACCTTAAAGCAGCTTGTTCAATGTGGGTGTAGTCTGTTTAAATATGTAAGCCGTGGAGATTTGAATGACAGGCAGTAGATTATTGTCTTGTTTACTTGCTGAAAATCCAAATGTAAACAAAAAAAAGGCTTCATAACTTTAACAACAGGCCTGAATTGCGTTTTTCTTCCCTCCTACAGAAAAGGTGTTAAAGCTGTTCCAGCAGCGATGGCTGGTGGTGATAACGATGAGGAGGAGTTGTCCCCAGATGATGAACACATCATCAGCGCCAGTGAGGAGGAGGTAATACCAACCCTGTCATCAAAGCTGCTGGCCGCAGACAGTAGACACTTGTGTTTTTTTATTTTGTTTTGTTCTGTTTTTTTGTTGTTATTTTGACCAAGAGCTTCATCCTTTCAAGACAAGAGAACTGCACTGATAAGCAACAAGTAATGAATCATCAGGCTAATGACACATGAAAGGCTTGGCTAACACCTCAACACTCACTCTTAAAACTAAAAATAAAGACTCCTAAATGATCGTTGACTTGGATGCACAGTTCAGGTAATTAGGATAGAATCTTTACATTGAGCTGACATTCACAAAATTCAAGAGATTAAACGGGTTCGTCACACACATCTCATTTACACAAATGGTATTGGAATTATCCATAGTTGATACTAAATAATTTATAGTAGATACTAAATAATCCATAGAAGGTACTGAATTGTTTATAGTAGATACTGAATAATTCGTAGTAAATACTGACTAATTCATAGGGGATACTTACTAATACACAGTAAATACTGACTAATTCACAGTAAATACAGACTAATGCAGACAGTAAATACTGACTTATTCATGGTGGATACTGACTAACTCATAGTGGAGACTAGGGGTGGGAATCTCTAGGCACCTCATGATTCGATTACGGTTCAGAGGGCTGCGATGCGCTTATAAAACGATTATTGATGCATCTCGATGCATCTTTTTTTTCTATACATGATTTCTATTTTCTTACTGTCTGAAGACTTTGTAGCTTTAAAACTTTAAAACAAAGTATTTGTAATGCTCCATAATGCATTTACACCCAGTATCTTTTATTGATAAAACAAAAATGGAAGTGATGTGGCAAGTGAACTAGAAGGCTCTGATTAACTGCTCTTGTTTGGAGACACTGCTGCCACTCATCTGCGATAAAATGTGCTGTTACGTTGAAATAAGATCCAGTGGTAATGGATGACCACGGAGCACATTATATATTCTTTTCTGGCGGAGTTGGAAGAAAAGCGGCTATAGCCAAATCTTAAAGCAGAGCGAAGTAAATCTGTGTTTTCGTTTATATTTTTTAGCCCATACTAGGACATTAGCACACACTGAGACATACTGGACATTAAATGTTGTGGCTCCCAAGCTGGTTTGATTTTTGTTGAAAGGACAAAATGGCTCTTCTTATCATTTGTGTTGTGACTCCTGACCTAACCTGGCTTTTAATGCAGAGGGAGCCGGTCGGATTTCTCGCTCATCCAGTAGTGTTTTTGTTATGTGCCTCCACAGACTGTCCAGGCGCTGCACTTACCCACTTCCAAGTTCAGCCTTTTGCGTTCCGTCAACATTACGTTATAAATTAAATATTCAGAAAATCGATTTTTGACATTTATGAATCGATTCAGAATCGTCCACGTCTGCATCGCGATGCATCTAAGAATCTATTTTTTCCCGCACCCCTAGCGGATACGGAATAATTCGTGGTGGATACTGATTAATTCATAGTAGAAACTGACCAGTACATATTGAATACTGATTAATTCACAGTAAATACTGAATAATTCATAGTGGATACTGAATACTTCATAGTAGATACTGACTAATTCATAGTAATTACTGACTTATTTATAGTGTGTACTGAATAATATATGGTAGATACTGACTAATTCATAGTGGATACTGACTAATTTATAGTGGATACTGACTAATTTATAGTAAATACTGAATAGTAAATACTAAATACTACATAGTATATACTAATTAATTGTACATATTAAATAGTTCATAGTGAATACTAATAATTCAAAGTAGAAATAAAAAAATGTAGTAGGTGCTGAGCAATTAATCAGTAGAAAATAGATAGTACATACTGAATAATAGATGGATGGATGTTCCTTATTGATTATTAAAGGGAAATTTGGGTATTAGTGAAATATAAGTATTAAGATTAGCAGGTGAGTAGGAAACCTAGGGTTTAAGGGATTAAAGAAGGAGTGCAGTTGTAAGTATTTCCTTTGAGGTGTTTATTCCTGTAGTTTGAGGATAGTATGTTTGTGCTGATTGTGTCTGTATGTCCGTACAGGAGGGCAGCGACGATGAGAGGAAACACGCCAAACTGCTGGAGGCCATCAGCTCTCTGGGGAAGAGGAGAAGGTCAAAATCCCATAAATCTGTTATTTTTGTTTTCTATTTTTACATCATTTGAAAACACCAGCTGCCCTTTACATTATGTGAACATTTCCAGACAAATTGACCAATAAAAATGTTGCAGAATGAATTGGGGTAAATTCTCCTACTTTAATTTACATTAGAAGTGAACAGTGTTTTCCTTCTCTTGTAAAGTTACCGTTTCAGAGTTATGACATGTTGCTCTCAGTGCTGAGAGATTTAGGAGACATTTTCTTTCAAGTATATGATTAGTGGACAGTCAAGGCATGAATAAATTATTTCCAGTTTGAGTGCAGCTCTGAATGTTTTAAATATTTTCTGACTTTTTCACCCTGACTCCTGCCTGCAGGATGAAGCAGACAGAGCGGTCAGAAGCAAGTGTGCAGGTTTCTGAATTCTCGGTCAACGCGGATGGAGCTGGAGAAAAGGTCAACCTCTCTGACCTGCTGGGCACCATGGACAAAACACCTGGAGCACCAAACAAGACCAAGCAGCAGCTGAAGAATCTGCAGAACCGCAAAGAGACACTGGAGCTGCCGCTCAGCAAACAGCAGACAGAGAAGGTCAGTGTTCATTATAGTTGCTGTCTGTGTAATTATTGAATAATTCATTGTAGGTACTGAATAAGTCGTAGTGGACACTGAAAAATTCATAGTGATTATCAAAGAATTCATAATAGATACTTTATAATCAATAACAACTTCAGTAGTTCATAATAGTTATTAAATAATTTATAGAAGGCACTGAATGATTTATAGTGGTTACTAAATAATTCATACTAGTTTCTTTGTTTCTGAATAATCTTAAAATTGAATAATTCACAGTATAGAGACACTAAATAATTAATAGTGATTAAGGAAGAATTTGTTGCAGATACTTAATCATTCATAATAATTGTTGAATAATTCAGAATAGTTACTGAATAATTCATAGTAGTTACTGAATAATTCCTAGTGGATGCTGAATAATTATTAGAAATTGTTGAATAATTCATAGTAGACACTGAATAATTCATAGAGATTCAATGAATTCACAGTAGATATTAATGTTTTATAACAATTGTTGAATAATTTGTAATAATTATAGGCAAAAAATATAGTAGGTAGTTAATAATTCTTAGTAGTTACTGAATAATTCTTAGAAATTGTTGAATAATTCTCAGTAGATACTGAAAAATTCATAGTGTTTATGATAGAATTAATTGTAGATACTTAATATTTACTTTTTTAAATAAATAGTTACTGAATAATTAATAGTGGATACTAAATTCTTAGAAATTGTTGAATAATTCACAGTAGATCCTGAGTAATTCATAGTGATTAAATTCATAATAGTTACTGGATATTTAATAGTAGCTACTGAATAATTCATATAAATTATTGACTAATCCTGAATAATTCAAACTTGACGAATTTATAGTAGATACTAATGTTTCATAATAATTGTTGAATAATTTGTAATAGTTATTTAAAAAAATATAGTTGATACTAAATAATTCGGTGATTACTGAAAAATTCATAGGAATTTTTGAATAATTTATAATAGACACTGAATAGAATTAATTCAGTATATGATTAAGACTGAAGCCTTTATTTACAAATATATGACATACATGCTAGTTTAATATCAGTTACAGAATAATTTGTGGTAGTTTTTGAATAATATGTTTGCAGGTCTATATAATAATCTATAGCAGTCTATATAATAATAAACCTGTTCTAAAGGTCCCAATCAGCTCTCATACCGGTATTTCAGATCAGATCAGAAGCTCCCCAGTGCTGATTTTGTGTGCTGATGTGTTGTAACTGTCTCTGAGCAGATCCAGAGAGAGGTGGCATATGACAAGAGCAGTAAGGAGGTGTCCCGGTGGGAGACTGTTATCACTCAGAACCAGAAGGCAGAGCAGCTGGTCTTCCCACTCAGGCAGGACCCAACAGGACCTAAACGCATGGAGCAAGTGGTGGCCGGCTGGAAGGTGCGTACTGTTTGAGTTTGTATGGTGTTTTTCTGAATTTTTTATCCATCAGAATAAATATGTCAGTTCTGCAACAACAGCAGCTTGTAAATAATGACAGCAACTTTGTAAGACCTCTAAGTGTACAGTGTGCAACTTTTCAAAGTAGATCATCACACTCACACTTTTTGACACTGTATGACACACTGCTCTCTGTAAACATGGACACGTCACAGAGCCAAGAACAACTTTTAAAGTCTGGATTTTGTCCATACTTTAGTCTATTCTTTTTAGACAACAGTATGTTAGAAACCACATAATCGAGTCTATTAGAGATGCACTTTAATTTTAAGTCCTCCCTTAATTTCTACAGTATAACTCCTGTGTAATGTAATGCTTATTTGCACAACTGTACAAATGTTCATTTTTACAAATGTTCATTTCACTCTGTATATAGTTATTATACTATATGTCTGCACAGACCTGCATATGTATAGATATTCGTATCTGCATATGTACAGATATTAACACATCTCTTTAAGGTCCTTTCACTCACAGTATTCTTTACTATTCTTTATACTATTTTCTGCATTTTTATGTTATTTCAATCAATCAATCAAGCAATCTATCAATCAACCTTGATTTAAACTCAGAGAACATTGAGGGAGAACCCCATTTACAGTTTGGCTGAGCCAATACAGAAATCAGGGATTGAGAAGTTAAACAGTAAAAACAAATTAAATGCTAAAAAGTAATAATAATCATAACAGTAAAAAAAAAAAACTATAAACCATTAAAATTACAGCAGTATAGTAGCTAAATGAATAAGCTAAAATTGGGATAAATAAGACATATAATTAATGAAAAAAGATGTAAAACAAAAGCTTAGCAGTATTCAAGTAAATAAAAATAGAATAATAAAAATGAAACAATAACAAAACATACAAAAAATTGTTTTAAAAGTTAAACTAAAAAAGTGAAACTAAAACTAAAAAAAAGTTAAAACAGTTGCAGGCTGATTGGAGGTGATGTTTTTGTTCCTTATTTAAATATTCGTTAATAATCTGTGTGTTTGTCTGGTCTGTTCAGTGTTGTATGTCATACATGTCTGTACTCAACAAAAAAAAATTTGCATGTTTAACATACCAAACATGTCTTGGCTGTGGACGTCTAGGCCTGCTCTGTAGGCAGTATGTCAAACATCTGACTTTGTATCTCGAAATTATGATGTATTTTCTTGAAATAATGACTGACTATTCTCAAAATATTGACTTAGTATCTAGAAATAATTTGCTGTTGTCTGAACAAAATCTCCAAAACTTTACAGGAGAAGGAAAAAACATACTCTACTTTTAATGTAAGTCAATGGAACCAGACTTTTTCACAAGTAATTTTGGGTAATTTCTTTTGGTCCATTTATTATGAAATTTACACACAACGTAAAGGATTACGAGTACTTTCAAATGACAGAAATGGAGAAAAGCAGCAAATTACTTATTTTCTCAAGATTCTGACTTCCCAGAATAATCAGTATTTAGACTGAAATTATTTCAGGATAGTAAGTCATTATTTGGAGCCAGTATTTTGAAAAAAACAAGTCATTATTTCTTGAAGCTAATTTTGACACGCTGCCTCAAAAAGAGGGGGAATATAACGGGTGATATATATATATATTTCTCTTCTACCTGCGTGCATGGTTCCCATGCTTTACTGATCAGCTACATTTGCAGCAAGGGAGAACTTTAAGATGATAACTGTGTGATTTCTTCTCTTTGATAGGCTGAAACTCCACTGGAGAAGGAGATCTTCAGCCTCCTCCACAGCAACAATCAGCCCATCCACGACCCCGTGCTCACCCCAGCAGAGGAAGCTTCCATCAAGGCTATGAGTCTAGAGGAGGTGAGACTAACCATGGCTTCATCATACTGACGTGGCAGTGGGGTGTTTAGCATAAAGGGTTTAAAGTTTGGCCCAATCCCATTTCTTACTTTTACCCCTACCCCATGTTTTCGAGTGTCACCTCGCTCCTTAGAACTGAGTTACAAGGGGTAGTGGTTGAAATCTTCCCTATGAAATGGGACCCTCAAATAAAGAAGAGCATTACTTCATTAATAGCTACTAGTGCTGCTCTGTAGGCGACCCTGCCAGTCTGCAGTGATAGCAGAGGAGGGTAAAGTTCAGCTCCAGTTACATTTAGGGAGTCATATGCCTTCAAAGAGGGGGGACGGGACTATTATTTATTATCACCCACCCCTAATTCTTCAGTGATATGAAGCTGAAGCTTCGCCAGCTTCTCGTTCGAATTTTCCTGTTTCAGCTTAAATGGTGGAGCAGTTCTGAAGCCTCAGGTGCCAAAATGTAACTGCTGCACCATTTAAGGTAGAACGAGAAATTTAGCTTGCTAACTAAGAAGACATCAGCATAGTACTAGCAATTTTTTTATGCTTGTTATAAAGAAAACGACCATAATACATTGAAACGACATTAAACTAAGACAGTACAGTGGTTATCGTAATTTTTTAACAGGGAAAATTCTCACATTTGTGTGTTTCTTTGGTCACTTGCCGGTTTTTCCTTTTTTCCCCTCATAGCACTGTTTGGAGTGTGTTTCTGAAAAACCTCCATTTGGAGGGTCATGTCGCCCTAACACTTCGCCCTACCCTCTCAACAAAAATGAGGACACCTTACCCCTAGGCGTGAATGCGCAAAAGGGTGGTAGGGGCGAGGGGTGAAATGGGACTAGGCATCAGCTGGACTACATTCATTGTAAAATTGTAGCTATATGGAAGGTGTTTCTGATAAAATGGCCAGTGAATGCATATTCAGGATTGTTAACTCTGTGAAGTTCAGTGTGTGTTGATCCTGGATGTAGCAGATGTTGGGGTCCCGATCGTGCTTGATGTAACAGTGCGGTTTGTTTTGCAGGCGAAGATGCGCCGAGCCGAGCTCCAAAAGGCCAGAGCGCTCCAGTCTTACTACGAGGCCAAAGCCAGGAGAGAGAGAAAAATCAAAAGCAAGAAGTGAGTGAGGAAAATCAGATCACGTGCCGAACAGCAGCGACACAAAGAGCAAACAGAGCTGCTGAGAAACTTCACCGACAGTCGTGATTCCAAAGTTGTTGCTGTGAATTAACAGTGATTTAAAATAATAGACTGTTTAACAAGAGCTGCAGATGTTGAATCTCTCTCTCTCTCTCTCTCTCTTCCTCTCCTTTTTCTTTGTTCTGTGTTTCATTCTATTTGTTCTCTTTTTCTTTTTCTCTCTCTCCCCACTCTCTTTTTATCTTTCTTGTTCTCTCTTTTATTCTGTCTCTCTCTTTTATCTCTCTCTTCCCCCTCACTCTCTCAATGTCTTTTCTTCTTGCTTGCTCTTTCGATCGGTTCATTTTCCCTCTATTTTGTCTTTTCTCTCCTTACTCTCTCTCTCTCTCTCTCTCTCTCTCTCTCTCTCTCTCTCTCTCATTTTCTCTCTCCCTCTCTTTCTCTCTCTCTCTCTCTCTCTCATTTTCTCTTTCTCTCTCTCTCTCTCATTTTCTCTCTCATTTTTTTCTCTCATTCTCTCTCTCTCTCTCTCATTTTCTCTCTCTCCCTCTCTGTCTCTCTCTCTCTCTCTCCCCCCCTCTCTCAGGTATCATAAGGTGCAGAAGAAGGCTAAGAGGAAGGAGTTTCTGAAGCAGTTTGATGAGATGATGAAGACGGATCCTGCTGGTGCTCTGGAGGAGCTGAAGAAGATGGAGCTGTCCAGGATGGAGGTTTGCAGTTTAGAACCCTGCATTATATAAAGAGCATAACTGGCCAATAAAACTCGACTCATGAAAGTTTTTCTTAGTCTGAGTTTGTGTCCCTGATCATATTAAGCACAATTCATTATTTCATATAATTTTAAAATCTGAATGCTTAAGACTTTTTTCCTGCCTCTAAAACGTCTTTTGGTTGTTTTTTGATTGCCAAAAATGGAGATACAAGGTTTTATTCCAGCAGCAGGGATGTACAGTCAGTGTTGTGCAGCCCTACTGCGTACTTTTTTGGTGATTTCGGTGATTCTAAAGACTTTGTTTCTGATTCTCAGGAAAGGATGTCACTGAAACATCAAAACAGCGGCAAATGGGCCAAGTCAAAGGCCATCATGGCGAAATATGATGATTCGGTAAGGAAAGTTATCTGAAATGTTCTTTATTCTTGTAGTTGCAGACTATAAAGTGTCTGTTTACATTCCCTGCTTGTTTTCTATACTCAATCCACTCCTTTGTTTCAGGCTCGTAAAGCCATGCAGGAACAGCTGGAGATGAATAAGCAGCTCACCCAGAAGCTTGTGGTGCCTTCAGACGACGATGAGGAGAAAAACGGCGAAGAAGCGGAAGCTCTTCCAGATTTCGTGAATGATCCTGAGCCGATCTTGGACTCCGTTAACCCCTGGATGAGGGGCAAGCTGACCAAAGAGCTTTCAGAGCCAGAGGTCACTGCTGTCGCAACGGAAATGACAACTGAAGCTAAAGATGAGAGACCGAACGGCCAGCAAGAGGAGCAAGAAGAGGATGAGGAAGAGGAGGAGAACGAGGAAGAAAAACTGCTGAGGGAGTTTGAGAGGAAGCGCAAGCTCCGACAGGATGAAGACGACGATTTGGTTCCAGTTCCACAAGAAGAGAAGCAGGGTGAGCGTTTTTCACTGTGTTTTACGAAACCACCATATTTAGCCTAACGATGAAAAGCAGGCAGAGGTATCATTAATAAACACATTATTACATTTTTATACAAAAATAATGATCATAGGTCAGGGCTCGGCAACCCGAGTGTTATACAGAGCCATTTTGTCCTTTCAACAGAAATCAAATCACGTTGGAAGCCACAGCATTTTATGTCTGTTTTACCATCTTGGCTGTAAATATGTCTCAGTATGTGCTGAAATACTAGTGTAGGCTAAACAAAAAGCAGCTGTATCCACTTTTCTCACATCTCCGGCAGGAAATTTTCCTCAAAAGTTGAACAGTTTCTTGTAAAATGTCTCTCAGTGTTCGATGTTTTACAAGGCTAAAGTCAGCTTCTCATTCGCCAGCTTCTTGTTCAAATTAAATGGTGCCTGAGTTGCCAAAATGTAACTGCTGCACCATTTAAGATGGAACAGGACAATTCGAACAAGACGCTGTGAAGAGTGTAGCTTCAGACTTTTTCGTGTTTGACAGTTTCTTGTTGCAGATTAAACGTATCAGGAAACCAGCTGGAGTGATTATAGATGCAAATAAGTCGATTTGTGTCCAAATGATTGATGTTTGTCTTAAATATCTCTCTTTGTTGTTTCATTAACTACTAGCTTGTTGTCTAACTGTTGCCTGAGTTGCTATGGTTACCAGAAGTCTGCGCGCCAATCTTCAGGGTTAAAGGGTGAATTAGCAGTTATACATTAACTCCAGTGTTTAAGACCATTTATTGTTAAACTGTGTTGAATGATCAGCAGAGCTTTATTTTACTGTAAAAGAGGATTATTTTATTTTTACCTACAAATCTGATTCTGCTGTGGAGCCGCAACAGGGCAGTAAAAGAGCCGAATACAGCTCCAGAGCCACATGTTGCCGACCTCCGTCATAGACGTTATTTATATACAAGGCATAAAGCAAGAAAATTTCTGTGCTAAATTTTTTTTAAAAAATACACAGTTTGTAGAAATTTAAAACTTTTGTAGTGCACTCCTTTCTCTCTTCCGTTTCTTATTTACCATCCATTATTTAACATCTGTTCGCAGCCTACCAGAGTACAGTGGGGCAGAGCAGCAGGGTCTTTACTATAGACATATCCACCCTCAATTGACTGCTTTTTTATCTGAAGAGCAATCGGTGGCTGTAATTTTTGGGGGTTATTTTGTTGAGGGCGGAGCTGCAGGCGCTGAGAAAGTTCTGCTAATCAAACCAACCTGTGTGGAAGAGTAAACTATGAAACATGACAAAAAATGTACTGTTACACTCTGAAACTGACTCTTCAGGGGAACACGGCTATACACAGTGACTGATGTGAGACTCATTACACGGCAGCCAATTAGAATAGGGGTTATTTACATACACTATTGCCAAAAGTATTCACACACCCTTCCAAATCATTGAATTCAGGTGTTCCAATCACTTCCATGGCCACAGGTGTATAAAACCAAGCACCTAGGCCTGCAGACTGTTTCTACAAACATTAGTGAAAGAATGGGTCGCTCTCAGGAGCTCAGTGAATTCCAGCGTGGTACCGTGATAGGACGCCACCTGTGCAACAAGTCCAGTCGTGAAATTTCCTCACTACTAAATATTCCACAGTCAACTGTCAGTGGTATTATAACAAAGTGGAAGTGATCGGGAACGACAGCAACTCAGCCACAAAATGGAACTGGTCGGCCACGTAAAATGACAGAGTGGGGTCAGCGGATGCTGAGGCGCGTAGTGCACAGAGGTCACCAACTTTCTGCAGAGTCAATCGCTACAGACCTCCAAACTTCATGTGGCCTTCAGATTAGCTCAAGAACAGCGTAGAGAGCTTCATGGACTGGGTTTCAATGGCCGAGCAGCTGCATCCAAGCCTTACATCACCAAGCGCAATGCAAAGCGTGGAATGCAGTGGTGTAAAGCGCCACCACTGGACTCTAGAGCAGTGGAGATGTGTTCTCTGGAGTGACCAATCACGCTTCTCTGTCTGGCAATCCGATGGACGAGTCCGAGTTTGCTGGTTGCCAGGAGAACGGTACTTGTCTGACTGCATTGTGCCAAGTGTAAAGTTTGGTGGAGGGGGGATTATGGGGTGGGGTTGTTTTTCAGGAGTTGGGCTCGGCCCCTTAGTTCCAGTGAAAGGAACTATTAAAGCTTCAGGAGACCAAGAGATTTTGGACAATTTCATGCTCCCAACTTTGTGGGAACAGTTTGGGGACGGCCCCTTCCTGTTCCAACATGACTGCGCACCAGTGCACAAAGCAAGGTCCATAAAGACATGGATGAGCGAGTTTGGTGTGGAAGAACTTGACTGGCCTGCACAGAGTCCTAACCTCAACCCGATAGAACACCTTTGGGATGAATTAGAGCGGAGACTGCGAGCCAGGCCTTCTCGTCCAACATCAGTGTCTGACCTCACAAATGTGCTTCTGGAAGAATGGTCAAAATTCCCATGAACACACGCCTAAACCTTGCGGAAAGCCTTCCCAGAAGAGTTGAAGCTGTTACAGCTGCAAAGGGTGGGCCGACATCGCATTAAACCCTATGGATTAAGAATGGGATGTCACTCAAGTTCATATGCATGTGAAGGCAGACGAGCGAACACTTTTGGCAATATAGTGTACATCAGTCTTAAAGGACCAGTAACCTAAACAGCCTGTTTAAGGGATAAAGAGGTTGGACAAATGAAATATGACTGTTTTTGTTAAACCCACACAAACATTATAAAGGACTTCTGGGTAAAAAAAAATCAAATTCAACAATTATGTAGGATGTGAGCTCATTTACATTTTGGAGAAAAATAAAACAATGTGCTGTATGCAAAATTGTGGCACATTTAATATTGTAGTTTTTTTAATTAAACTCAGCAAATACATAGAAATTGTGCACAAAAATGCCATATTTTTAGAGAATGTCAACTTATTTTCACTTCTGCATAAGACTGTACCTCCTGCTCTGATTGTGTTCTAATATTGTCCTCAGTCCTGACTTGTAACATGGTTTTTGGGCTTTACATGCCATATTTCAACAATCTTTATGGCCACCATCCACAGAAATCACCTAAAGCTGCATTAATTCATCCCAATAGTGAGAATCGTCTCAATATCCCTGACCTCTTCTCTTTTTGGACAGGCTTCACTTTTGACTTCAGTTACCAGTTAATGAGAAATCGTGCTTTGTGATCCCTCCTTGTTATGCACTCTGCCTGCCTGATGTTAGTGTTTTTCCCTTCTCCAGGGTGAATTACTGCGCACTTTAGTGCTTTCCCTGCACTAACGCACCTAATCCAACTCATTCAGCTCACAGATGGCTTGATAATTAGCTGGTGAGATGTGTGCAATGACTCAGAGGCTCTAGCACATCTTGATTCCACTCACAAAGGGCTTGATAATTAATTGATAATTAAGTTTAATAATGCGTATTAAATCTGTGAAAATGCTGACCAGTTCAGAGCTGTGCTCTACACCATCTCCTCTTATTGTGTTCTTATTTAGTGAAAGGTAAGGCCTTGTGTGCGTGGCACAGATACGCGCCTGAGAACATGGAATATGAGGATATAAATATCCTTCAGCAAAAGCTTCTCCATATAAGTTTTACCTTCTCTGTGTTCCTTTCTGGTAACATTAGTGGGACGTCACAGTAGGCAGGTTCCCGTCAGTGGGAGATTTTGTGAAAAACATTTCAACGCTGGTTTGTTTGACGATGGAAACTATCAGTAACATTTCTTAAATGTCAATTATCAGTAATGTTTCTTAAATGTCAGACAGTTTTTTTTAATTTGATTTTGTTGTTTGTCAATACTTGAGAATTAAAATGTCGCATCAAACTATATGCCAATGTTTTTAACTAGAAAATAATGCAATTATATTGTTGTGGCAGGATTTTCATCAGGAAATATAGGAATTATCAATAAGACTGCTCAATATTAATCATTTTTACTATACTCTTTGTTACATTATACGTAGGCTAAGGAAAAGGCCAAAATAATGCACACAATTTAAATAAACACACATTTTTTGATTGAAATATGTCAAACACAACTTTATTTACTCAATAAAACAGAAATAAAAGAATGGCATTACTGGTTAAAATCCTTTTATTGCTTGTAAGTCAGTTTAAATTGGTTTATAAGATCAGTTATATGAAAAATATATAAAAAAAAAAATTAATAAAAATGGACTTTTTGTTAAACGTTTTTGTTTTTTCCCCGTATTGTGTACATTTTGTGTTGTTTTATGTACAAAACAGTTCATATTTACATGACAGTTTACCTCTCTTTATCCCCAATAATTGTTTAATTCTTTAGGACAGATATATGTAAATGAGTTCTGTTCTGATAGGCTGTTCTGTATTGCGGCTCATTCAAAAGCAATACGGATCGAAACACTCTTTATAACGTTAGTGCAAGTGCGCGGAGCTAATATGCTGTAGGCTGCTGCAAGCAAATACATGTAAATGTGTTGTTTTTTGTGACGTCACAAAAACAGGCTGACATACATGTACTTTGTGTAGTGAAGAATGAATGGTATTAAACTCATTTCCAAGAAATATATTTTCTTCTCATTATACAGGCCCTTTAATGCATTTTTATTGAATTGCTTTCAATAATCACATACAAAATGTGTATAAAATGAATGGAAGCTTTGCAAATTACAAACTGTTTCTTTCGCCGTAGCGTTCCCTGTGGATGTAGCTGAAGCAGAACAGGTAGCCAAAAAAGAAGAGGCTGCTGGTGAGGCCGAGATAGAAATTGCAGATGATGATGATGATGATGATGAAGATAAAGAAGAGGAGGAGGAGGAAGAAGAAGAAGTCGTCGTCTCTGAGTTTAACAGCCTCTTTAACAGACTGATGAAAAGCGGCAGTGCGCCCACAGTACCAGAGCAGACTGGGGCCGAGGGGGCCGAGCTTCTGGACGAAGGACTCGTCCGGGTCCGAAACATGGATGACCTGGAGGCCCTACAGCAGGACGTTGTTATGGAAACTACGCAACCTGCACCCACCTCAGCCACACCTGCTCCCAGTGTGGAGGCCAAATCTGGGCCTCCGAAGAAGAAGAAGAAAAAAGGAATTGACCCAAACGAAGTTCTGACCAAAGAGGCCAAAGTCATTAAAGTGCCTTTAGCACCGACTGTGCTGGAAGAAGAGGAAGAGGAGGTTAGTGAAGATCTGCAGTTTGTTTTCCTTTTTATGTTTGATGATTCTTAAATGAAAAGTTCTTGTAGATCCCCCTTATTCTAAATATAGTCGATCAACAGTGGGGGGCAGTGGATGTTGGGGAACCAGCCTTGCGACCGGTACGTGACTGAAGTGCCCTTGAGCAAGGCACCTAACCCCCAACTGCTCTCCGGGCGCTGCGGATACGGCTGCCCACCGCTCTGGGCAAGTGTGCTCAATGCCCCCTAGTGTTTGTGCTCACTAGTGCGATGTGGTGTTTCACTGCACGGATGGTTTAAATGTGAATTTCTCCGTTCCCTAACATTCAGCCCACGACTGCCCCAGGTACATTTTTAATGTTTGTACCTTGGAGGACAAAAATCTACCTGGACGATACTTTTCTTTCTTTCTTGTATTAAAAATTATTTCAGTGATTTAAAATTGTTGTTGTTGTTGTTGTTGTTATTGTTATTATTATTATCATTATTATTACTATTATTATTATTATTAATGAAGAATATTACTGATTAAAATCAAAAAAGGAATTTCTGTACAGGCAAATATGAGAAGTCTGAAAAACCCTTTACATTTACCTTCAGGTCCATGCAGAGCAGACAGCCATCATCAAAGAGGCCTTCGCAGGAGATGATGTCATCTCGGACTTCCTAAAAGACAAAAGGAAGCAGGAACAGGCGGGGCAGGCAAAAGTGGTGGACCTGACCCTGCCCGGCTGGGGGGAGTGGGGGGGTATCGGCCTCAAACCTTCCAAGCGCAAACGCAGGAAGTGAGTAGTGACGCCTCTTCTGGCCAGCAGACTGTGAACACACTTCATTGATTAACAGAGCTGCATGATGTAGACAAAATGCTCGTATTGAGATTATACTGCTACATATCACGGTGCACCTAGCAGTATATTAGAAATGCATGGGTCAGTCAATAATGTGATGTGGTCCAAGCTTTGCATGCATTGTTATTAACCAAAAATAATTTTTACACTTCATCAAAAACCGACAGAAACTCCTCTGGAGCTATCGTTTGCCGTGATGCTTAGAGCACACATGAAACAACACTGAATAGAGAACTCATTCGCATATTTCTGTTGCAAAAGCCAGATCCACAATAGCGATCAAAGGGCCAGTGTTATGTGAAATTTGATTTGCTTCATTTTTTGCAATAAGAGTTTGATGTAGTATGTTTCAAAACAATACCTTTCAGTCCCAGTCTATTCAGCCCATATGTCCATATATGGTAACCAAGCTTCAAAAACGGCCTGTTTTAAAATCATTGTTACTGTGATGTCACAAAAACCAATGTCTTTGTACATTTCCGCCTATCAACCCAGCTGAAATTAAAAGTAGAGTTTTAGCCTGAAGTGCTTTTTAAATGAGGCACCGTACAGGGCAGCCAATTAGAACAAAGCTCATTTACATATCGCCACAGTCAGAACAAAACCTTGCATCTCTATTTTTTGTCGTTTTTCATTTTTTCACGATTTGAGACGCCAGCTGCACTTTACGTTGTCTCAAGATCTCATGGTGAACAGACAAGCAGAAATGCTCTGAAATGACTTTTAATAAAATCTTTTTACATAAGCTTCTATTGTAAGTTAAGATTTTTTGCTTCTTCTGTAAAGTTTCTTTTTTGGAAATATGAGGTTTTGAGTCGACAGTGGAGATTTATCAGTAACAAAAACAGCCTTTTTCATTATGAAGGATACAGAGAAGTCACACAACAATGAATTATGACTCTTATTGGTACATAAAACCACACAAATGTTGTAAGTGGACCTAAGAAAGATGGAATCTAAGAAAAATGTAGGATTCACTTCTATAGGAGGGAAATTATAAAAGCCTCCCTTCCATCATATTTTTTTTCAGATTTCGTCTGAAATTGCCTGCTCCTCCTCCAAGAAAAGATCAGAACCTGCCTGCTGTCATCGTCTCTGAAAAGAGGAACAGTTCTGTAGCCAACCATCAGGTAAGCAGAAGCTTCATGAGTTTTCAGGGCAATCACCTATTAGGGATTCACTGAGGGTCCAGATATGTCTATTGTAGGGCTGTCAAACGATTCAAGTCTCCTGAAGGTGCCGAAGGTTTCGCTGTAAAAGGCATTTAAAAGCTGTACTTTATGAGAGCGCAATTGTGGATTCTGTCTGAGATGCAGATGAGATACAGACTACAGACAAGTCGAAGGGTCAAACTTGTGTGTGAATGTGTTAACAGCGTTTGAAAAGGAATAAATTTAATCATCTACAAACCATTACCACATTAAATATGACACTAGTTTTTATTTATTCATTTGGTTTGTTCAGCTAGTTACATTTAATTGTACATACTTGAAATAATTTACCCACATTACCCAGGGATTGATTGTGAAGTATTATAATTAAGTGAAGGTAGATGAAGTCCATTTTGAATATTTTTCTTCTTTTGAATGTTTTCCTGGTTCACCGAGTCTTGTCTGTCTTGTTTTTCTTGCTAAGCCTAAATATACACTATATGGCCAAAAGTGTGTGGACACTGCTAATTACTGAGTTCAGGTGTTTCAGCCACACCCATTGCTGACAGGTGTATAAAATCAAGCACATAACCTTGGAATCTCCATAGACAAACACTGGCAGTAGAATGGGTCGTACTGAAGAGCTCAGTGAGTTTAAACGTGCACTATCACAGGATGCCACCACCGCCACAAGTCACAAATTTCTGTCCTGCTAGATCTGCCCCGGACAACTGTAAGTGCTATTATTGAGAAATGGAAGCATCTGGGAGTAACAACAGCTCAGCCACAAAGCAGTAGACCACGCAAAGGGCCGGCAAGTTCTGAAGCACGTAGCTTAATGGACAACGTGAGGTCCATAAAGACATAGTTTGGTGTGGAGGAACTCCAGTGGCCCGCACAAAGCCTTGACCTCAACCTCACTGAGGTTGTGGTCAAGGTGTCTGACCTCACAAATGCTCTTCTGGATGAATGGGCACAAATTCCCCCAGACAAACTCCAAAAGCCTTTCCAGAAGAGTGGAGGCGGTGATGGGTGCAAAGCAGGGGTGCAAAGTCCATATCAATGCCCATGTTTTTGCAATGGGACGTCTAACAAACTCATGTAGATGCAATGGTCAGGTGTCCACATATTTTTGGTCATACAGTGTACCTCAAATTATTTCACTGTCCCCTTCTTCGCTCTGTCCTGCAGGTCAGTCAGCTGCCGTTCCCCTTCCAGAACAGCACTCAGTTCGAAAGCTGCATCCGCTTTCCGGTCGGCCAAACCTGGAACACGCAGACCACCTTCAAAAAACTGACCGCACCCAAAGTGGTCACCAGAATGGGTGCCATCATCGAGCCCATGAGCAAAGAGGACCTTCCGCCGGAGAAGGAAAGCTCTTGGGCGGGAAAGGAAGCAGCCATCGTACTGGGCGAGAAAGTGGAGAAAGAGACAAAGAAAGCAGGAGGAAGAAAACCACTGCAGCAGAAGAAGAAGAAGAGCAAACAGTAGAGAAAGAGAGAAAAAGAGCATTGACTGGCGATACTGATGTAATACGGGCTGTTTTGGCAGCGCCGTGCGTTATAGTGATTTGGATTTCATTGGCTATTGAGCTCGAGTCGTCTTCAGTGAACTATACTGAAAGAAAGGAATAAAAGACATTGATTAAACTGCCTCTTCTGTACTTAAGGACAGATTTAAAGTAATGAGATTTTTTCAGTGTTCTCTGTAGAATCAACTCTACCGAGTCATCCTTTTATTTACTTCTTATGAAAAGCAGAGTATAAAGGCATTGCTGGGCTTTTCTTGCCCTCTTTTCTCTCTTAAAGGGCCTATATCTTACAGTTTTTCCCTGCTTTTTTAAAGTTAACCAATTTGTAAACATTGATATGTTTTGAAACTTCAGCATTCACATGCCAGTCTATGCAGTCTATTTATAGACTAAAGCAGGCTGTTTAGAATTCCTTGTTTTTGTGATGTCACAGAAACCATGCCTGTACATATATCCCCCTCATTCAGCCTACAGCAGGTTAACGCTGAGGTTTTAAGGAGTGTTTCACCCTGTGTTGCTTTTGAGTAAAGCGCCATACAGGACGGCCAATCAGAAGAGAGCTCATTTGCATACATCATTCTTAAAGGTACAGTACCAATTACAGTCTGAGGGATAAAGAGAGGTTGGAAAATGATGTAAGGTTGAATTATGACTGTTTGTGATATGTAATTCCACACAAATGCCATATGTGGTGCACAAAAAAAAATACAGGAAAAATGTAGGATATGGGCCCTTTAACCATGTGTCTCTGTTCATGTTACTGGTTCCTGATTAAATTGTTGTTGCTTATGCTCATCATTTCTTGTTCTGTTGCCTCTGGTGCAGTTTTTTCCCCTCAGTTATGCCATAAAAAGTAAGACATTTTTTGTCATACTTTATTTAAATATTCCAATTCTGCCCACTGCGTTAACCAATTATTCTTATCACTTTGGACAAGGGGGCTATTTAATTTGATAAGAGAAAGTAATCTGGTTTCCTGTAAGAATCCATGTTTCCTATTCTTTATTTATTTAACAAAATTGACACCCCCATCTTTGCAAATTATCTGATGATTAATTATGATTTATTATTATTATTAAGCCAAGGCAGTAGTATTTGTTATCTTCTTTAAAGGGGAAAAAATCTGCATAATTAAATGGTTAAGACGCATTAACTTAAGACAGATTAAATGTTTAAAACAGTCATTCAGGGTGGTTTGGTGTGAAATGCTCAGTTTGAGAGAAACTCATCGAGTCAGAATTGTTCACAGTGGTGGTGATAGGAACCAGACGTCTGCTTCTAAAAGCTCCCTCGCAAAGTTATTGCATGAAATAGTTATGAATACACTGCCATTGTTTTATGGTAGTTTTGAGAAGATTTTGGCTTAAAACAGTACATGCAGGGCAATGTTAGGCCAAATAGTCCCCAGATTATTTCATGTTGTCTACTATTTTACCATCATCAACATTCCATATAACAACTAAGAAGAAACTGGTGTTTTGAATAACTGATTACATCTCAAACACTGAATTATGGAGAACTTTTGAATTTGGCAGAATTATCCTTTAAGCATTGTTAGGTGTGACATGGGGACAGTCTACCATTCAGGGTGTTGTTGGGCCAAATAGTCCCGAAAGAAAACATATTTTCAGATTTATCACTATATTTACCATCCTCAAAAACTCTTACTACATGTAGGTTCACTGATGGTTTTGCAGATTTTGAAATTGGGTGGCATTTCCCTTTAAAGGTTGTTTGCAGTTGGTCGTTAAGGGAGGGGCAATAAGGGAAAAATATATCATGATACTTGAAGACATTTGCACAATGCACAATTTGTATCACTTTAAAAAGGCTGAAAAACTACACACTTACAAATGATGGTTCTTCAGAAGTTCCTTAGTAAAGAAAATAGTTCAATATAGAACCATGAACACTCAAAGAACCCTTTTTTATGCTTAAAACATTCTCTGTATGGTGAAAGTGTTCTCCAGATTGATGGACAATGTTCTGTAGAGGGTTCCATACAGAAACTTTTTGAAAAGGGTTCTTTTATTATTACAAGCTTGACATCATACCAGTAGCAGAACCCTTTTTAAAAAAGCTTTTTCTCCATCAATGTAATGAACGCTTTCTCCATGCAAAAAACTTTTTCAATCATGAAAAAAACACTCTTTGAGTGTTCATGTTTCTATATAGAACCATTTTCTTTACTACAGAACCCCTGAAGAACCATCATTTTTAAGAGTGTGTCAGTGCAATGACGTTTTAAAATCTAATTCAGGGCTCTTGCAGAACAAAACAGGATTAAATATTCGGCCAAAATTAATTAACATAATAAGATGATGTCATAATGGGCTCCATCCAATCAGCTACTTTGTTACTATGCAGTTTATGCAGTTAGTCTACACTGGCTGATGTTACAGACTCTCTATAATTGGTCTACATCTGTATTTTTATGATCCATGCAGATGTTCAGTGTTCTAGAAGTGCTGATTATACCAATCATATACTCAGAAAAGAGCATCGTGTAATTATCACAATAACGATATCTTTCCCACTCCTACACCTCGTTATTCTTTGCTAATGGTTTTAGTCAGGAGGATTTTGTAAAACACACTAATGGACTAAAGTATTGAGACACCGCCTCTAATTATGGAGTTCATGTGCTTCACCCACTGCTAACAGGTGTATAGAATTAAGCACATAGCCTTGCAGTCTCCGTAAACACTGGCAGAAGAATGAGTCGTACTGATGAGCTCAGTGACTTTAAACATGCCACTGTCATAGAATATCACTCTACACAAGTCAGTTTGTGAGATTTCTGTCCTGCTGGATCTGCCCTTGTCAACTGTAAGTGCTATTACTGTGAAATGGAAGTGTCTAGGAGCAACAACAGCTCAGCCACAAAGCACTAAACCACACAAACTCGCAGAGTGCAGAAGTGCACAGTGCCTATCCTCTGTTGAATCACTCACTAAAGAGTTCTTAATTGTCTCTGGAATTAACCTCAGCGAAAGAACTGCATGTTGAGAACTTCACAAGAAGGGTTTCCATGGCCAAGCAGCTACACACAAGCCTAAGATCAGAATGCACAATGCCACGCGTCAGATGGAGCGGTGTGAAGCGCCGCCACTGGACTCTGGAATAGTGAAAACGTATTCTGTGGAGTGATGAATCGCGCTTCTTTATGTGGCAGTCTGGGTTTGGCGAATGCCAGGAAATCATTACCTGTCTGACGGCATTGTGCCAACTGTAAAGTTTGGTGGAGGAGGGATGATGCTACGGGGTTGTTTTTCAAGGGTTGCCCTAGACCCCTTAGTTCCAGTGAAGGAAAATCTTAATGCTTCAGCAGCAGAAGATATTTTGGACAATTGTATGCTTCTAACTTTGTGGGAAGAACCTTTTCACTGTACAAAACAAGCTCCATAAAGGCCTGGCTGGGTGAGTTTGGTGTGGAAGAACTTGACTGGCCCTCACAGAGCCCTGACCTCAACCCCATCAAAAACCTTTGGGATGAACTAGAACGGAAATTGTGAGCCAAGCCCTCTCGTCCAACATCAGTGTCTGACCACACAAATGCTCTTCTGGATGAATGGACAAAAATTTCCACAGACACTCCAAAACCGTGTAGAAAGCTTCCCAGAAGAGTGGAAGCTGTTCTGGCCGCAAAGGGACCAACTCCATATAAATGCCTATGGGTTTAGAATAGAATGTCATAAAAGCTCCTGTGGGTGTGATGTGTAGGTGTCCCAGTTCCTTTGTCCATGTCGTGTACGTATTTCTAACCTCTCGGAACCTTTTGGTGAGAGTTTCATGTAACATAATGAATGGAAATGGGGGTTGGATTTGTATCAAGCAGTGCAGACAGCATGGGCGGGGCTAAAGAGGGAAAAATAAAACCTAAAGTGATGTGATACACCCTGAGGTAAACCAACAACACCACATTCCCGCTCACAGAATGACTCAACTGACACATGATACACATTCAGACAGTTCAGTGACCTTTACATTCATGGTTGTAGGCAAAGGTTTGTCTCCTTTCAAATGACGTTTTGTTGATTTCTTTGTTGAAGTAAAAATAAGTTAACAGAGAAATATGTTAAAATCAGCAAATAAACAGTACTTTTGCATTAAAATGTGCAGAGGTGTGCTCTCTGTAGAGGATGTGTTCATTTACTTACTTACACTCAGAAAGTCAACAGAAAGTGTATTTTAGTGGGGCGTCCAAACTTTTGCATACAACTGTAGCGAATGTGACAGAAGACAGTGAGCAGAATACCTTATTAAAGATTTTATTACTGATGTTTTTTGTAAATCTGATTGGTTTAATTATTCTGACAGTTATACATTTTTATCATTGTCATTATTATTTTTATTGAGATCCATTAGCATCATCCCAGTCTTTCATAGACACACCAGTAACCATTTAATACACTCACTGAGCACTTTATTAGGAACATCTGTACAACTTCTCACTCATGCAGATATGAGAGAGGTCAGTGGAGAATGGCCAGACTGGGTCGAGCTGACAGACTACGGTAACTTCTCTGCAACCACTCTGTACAACTGTGGTGAGCAGGAAAGCATCTCAGAATCCAGAACGTGTCAAACCTTGAGGTGGATGGGCTACAACAGCAGAAGAGCATGTTGAGTGTCAATGCTGTCAGCTAAGAACAGAAAACTAAGGCTGCAGTGGGCACAGGCTCACCAAAACTGGACAGTTGAAGACTGTAAAAACATAGCCAGGGCAATCATCGTTTGAATGCCACAGCCTATTTGAGTGTTGTTGCTGATCATGTGTTTCCCTTCATGGCAGCAATTTACCATCTTCTAATGGCTACTGCCAGCATGATAATGCACCATGTCACAAAGCAAACTGGTTTCATGAACATGACAATGAGTTCAGTGTTCTTCAGTGGCCTTCCCAGTCACCAGATCTGAACCATTTCGGATGTGATAGAACGAGAGATTCACAGCATGGAAGGGCACATGACAAATTTGACTAAAATCTGAAAGGAAAGTTTCATGCTATGAAGAATTAAGGCTGTTTTGAGAGCAAAGGGAGGCTTTACTCAGTATCAGTATAGTGTTCCTAATAAAGTGCTTGCTGAGTGTAACTAATTCAATAACTCATTCAATAACTTCTATGAATTACTAGTTACTAGTATGAATTAATTCGTATTCATAGATATTAAATGAATTATTTAATATCTACTATGAATCATTCAGTATCTACTAACAATTATTTAATATCTACTATGAATTATTCAGTAACAATTATGAATCATTCAATATCTATTATGAATTATTTAGTATCTAATATGAATTATTTAGTATCTACTATGAAATATTCAGTATCTACTATTAATTATCCAGTATCTACTGTAAATAATTAATATCTACTACGAATTATTCAGTACCTACTATGAAATATTCAGTATTTATTATGAATTATTTAGTATCTACTATGAAATAGTAACTACTATAAATCATTTATTACCTACTATGAATTATTTAGTAGCTTCTCTGAATTATTCAGCATCTACTACAAATTATTAAGTACCTATTATAAATCATTTAGTATCTACTATGAAATATTCAGTAACTACTATGAATTAATCAGTATGTACTATAAATTATTCAGTACCTACTATGAATGATTATTGTTATATACTAAACTCACACTCCAGTAAAAGTATTGCAAATATAATGTAAAGGTATCTTTCTAAAAACAACTTTAGTTGAACTACAGCGGCAGCAGGTCTTTACTGAGTATCTTCTAGAACTGCAGTGGAACTTCTTAGTCCATCGATCAGCATTAGGAACTGAAGTTTGTCGGAGTCTGTTCTTCTGTTTCTGGTCTAAAATGAAAAGCTAAAGTGAGACAAGTGAGCAACAGTAAATCAGAACAGGAGCTGAACCAACACAGCAGAATGACGTAAAACTAAAAAAAAAGAATGAGAAAATAATTGTTCTGACTGTAATGGAAAAAGTAGATCACTTTTCTTGTAAATATAATCATTTGAAAATACTCAGGAAAGTACGAGGCTATGTAAATATTACTTGAGTACATGAAACTGCGTAACTGTCAGCATGATCTCACACTGGGCCTTGATTTGTAATAGTCAGGACTTGGTTTGGTAAGTGGATGGATTATATTTAGAGGAGTGTTGTCACCCAAGGCTGATGTGATATGGAAAAGAACGAATGGGATTTTGGAGAGTAAAATCTGCATTTTTTCGGCTAATTTTCAACACAACAAAGGGGCTCTTTGTGTTTTTTACTGAAAAGAGCATGAAGCTCTCTGTCAGTGAGGAGATTTCTTGGAAGCAGGAGTTTCACCTGACAGGGCATGAATAGTGGATGAGGGGAGGGAGATGAGCGATGAAAGAAATTAACCTTTTTTTTCATGCCGCTGTGACTCAGCACAAAGTTCCCTCTAAAGCCAGCTGCCAGAGGACTGTCCAGTCTGTCCCACCTGGGGAATATGTCCATGTGTCTCCGTTCACTGTAACTTGGCCGTAGTTTGACATGAACGCTGTGTTTTTTGGAGTTTTTTTGCTCCAGGCCGTGACCCCTGTGCTGGGTTTTGCTACCGGAGCTCCGGCCTCAGTCTGTGGGAGCATGAAGCCTGAACATTCAAGAGTTCAGCCTCAGCCAGGCCAGCCTCCGTACACTATCGAAACCAGCAACAGCACTTTTCAGACCGGACAGCCTCTTACAGGTAAGGCTGAAAGAGGAATTCCACTGATTTTATTACATTTCTGCATAATTCATTCAGAGTAGTTTGGTGTGAAATGGTTCACTGTAGAGACTGTCTTTACAGTGGTGGTGAAAGGAACCGGGGTCACCAAAATCCAAGGCCAAAATCTTCACTAAACTATCATACAAAAGTGTCTCAGACTTCAGGCAGTGTATTCATAACCATTTCATGTACTAACTACTGTATGTCTGGGAGGTTTTGGAGGTGGACGTCTGGTTCCTATCACCACCGCTGTGAACAGTAAAATTCCCCTTTAAGAATAAAAAAATGCTCATGTACTTTCCAGATGGTTTCATCATCCAGACAATCTATTTTTCCTTCACGAAAATAGTCTGTAGTCACCTGCTTTCTTCTGAAATGAGGGGTATTTATAGTGAGTTTGTCCCCTTTGCTGCAGTAACAGCCTCTATTCTTCTGTAAATGCTTTAGTCTAGATTTTGGAATATTGCTGTGAGGATTTGGTTGAGCATTGGTGAGGTCAGGTTCTGATGTTGAATGGTCAGTTCTGGATCTCAGCTCAACCTTAAATGTATTGGATGGAGCTCCATCACTTCAGAAAACACAGTTCTACTGCTTCACAGCCCAATGCTGGGCGGCTTTATACCCCTCTAGTTCATGCTTGGCACTGGACATGGTGACCTCATGTGCGGCTGTTCCAGAGAGTCCCATTATATTGGTCAGTGTTTTTCTATGGAGATTATACAAGCTGTATGCTCATAATTACACACCTGTGACACCTTAAAGTAGCTGAATTCACTCATTAGTAGAGCTGTCTGAATACTTTTGGTAGTGTGTTATAAGGCACGCTCTTAAAATCATGGTTCTTCAAAGGTGCTTTAGCAAAGAAAATGGTTCTCTATAGAACTATGAACACTCAGAGAACCAGTTGCATGAGTAAAGGGTTCTTTGCATCACACAAATGGTTCTTCAGATTGATGGAGAATGTGCTGTAGATGGTTCTATATAGAACCTTTTGGAAAATGGTTCTATGTAACACCAAAAAGGGTTCTTTTATTGTTAGGATGTCAAGCTTGTTACACCAGAAGAACCCTTTTTGGTGCTATATAGAAGCCTTTTCAAAAAGGTCCTATATAGAACCATCTACAGCACATTCTCCACCAGTCTAAAGAACCTTTTGTGTGATGCAAAGAACCCTTTAGTCATGCAGATGGTTCTCTGAGTGTTCATAGATCTATATAGAACCATTTTCTTTACTAAAGAACCCTTGAAAAACCATCTTTTTTAAGTGTGCACAATTTCTATAGTGCTGTATGATATTTCTTTCATAATCCGTCTTTCTTTCACCTCTTATAATAGTCCTATAGTGCTGTTTTATGGTGATCTATAATACTAAACCACTAAGCTAAAATATATTAATATAATAATATATAATGAATACTAATGTAATAAGGTATAATAAATATACTTGTCTGTTCTTATAGGAATCCTGTAAAAAATACTGTACCGATTTCATAAGCGATACCTGTGAAAATGAAAATAAATACTGCCATATGTTAAGAATTTCCACTATAGAATTCCCAAATTTCCCCAAACAAACTTTGCAAAATCAATTTTGACTTCTTACAAGTTTCTAAATTCCGCAAGAAGAAGTTCAACTTGCACTTTACTTGAATTAAACTTGGCCATGTTTATATAACATTAGATTGACCTGTTCGCTCTCACTGCAGGCGTTGTCGCCTCCTAGTGGACATTTACTGCTATTGCATAATGTTAAATGCAATACGAATCCTTTACTACGCGTTTAAATTGTGCCTTTTCTCCAAATCTGGTTAGGAACAGCGTTGTTGACGTGGTGGTGGTGGAACTGTCTTACGGATGCTGATCTGTTTCTAACTGTTCCAGCAGAAAAAGAGCATTTAAGAGTGAGGGGCTGTGCCTCTGCGCACATGAGATGTACTTGGTGTTGGGATCCACAGAAATACTAAAGATACAGCAGACAGTTTTTCATCAGCACGGAAGGTGATTCTGAGGCTCTGGGCAAAAGACAAGAATGGGGCCCTCTGGACTCGCATTTTTAAATTAGTTGATGCTCTGGGCTCCACCACACTGCAAAAAACGGTATCTTGCCAAGTGAAATTAGTGTAAATGTAGTCAATATATCTAATATTTCTCATTTTGAGATTGTTGTAAGGGTATTATTAGATTATCTCACTATACTGGTAGATCATTTTGCCTGTTTTAAGGAATAGTGCTTAAAAAAACTTTGTGTTTAATTAAAAGTCTACGTCTCTTTGGTATTTATCATTTAATTTGATCTACGTCATTGTCTTATATGATTTTAAAGTAATACTCATAGCTTTTTCTATTACTATTAAGCTTTATCACTTGTCTGTAAAGCACTCTGAGCTGCAACTGCTAAGAAAAGTGCTTTCTTTTATTATTATTATTGTTATTATTATGAATATTATTATTAAAACTAGTAGAATTATCTGCTCATATGGCTCCTATAGTAAAGTAAATTAAATTCAAAATAATTTTTGAATAATTACCCAACACTGGAGCTATCTACACTAACATTAAAGAGGAATTCCACCAATATTTAAAATTTTCTGAAAGTCCTTGAGATGTAAACATCATTCCGAGTGGTTTGACGTGAAATGGTATATTGTGGAGAAACTTACAGGTTCAGATTTATCTACAGTGGTGGTGATAGGAACCAGGGGTCACAATGTCTAGAACACAAATACAGCCATTAAATTCTCCTTCCAAAACCGTCAGTGAACCTACATGTACCTTCAGAGTACAAATACATTTTAAGCCAAAACTTTATCATAAACCATCATAAACAGTGTCTCAGACATCAGGCAGTGTATTAATAACCATTTCCTGTAATAACTTTCTGTAAGGGGAGCTTTTAGAGGTGGACATCTGTTTCCTATCACCACCACTGTGAACAGTTCTGACTCGGTAAGCTTCTCCAGAACGGAGCATTTCAGACCAAACCACTCTGAATGACTCTGTTTACATCTTAACCATTTAATTACGTACAGTTTCTGAAAAATCAGTGAAGTTCTCCATTAACACTAGTGTTATATACAGTCTGCTGAGCCTGTGCAATGCAGTAAAGTGACAAACGTTTGGCTTTCTTTCCCATTTTTGCTTTTTTCTGCTATGCTTAGATGACTTAATCTGATTTTACCTCTCAACATCCAGAAAATCATACTGAAGAAGCTTCTCTCTAAACTGTACACTACCTCTTAGATGCCTTGTTCATACCAGTCTGTCGTCATGCAGTTGTTATCACATAAACATGAAATAGTCCATTATAACTATAAACAGGGGGTGGGGCTGCATTGAAATGAATGCAAATTATCATTACAACAACTTATAACATATATGGCAATATACATTTTTAAAATATATTTTTTGGAATAGATTATTTAACATCAACACGTACACTATATCTAATTTGGGGCCCCAGGCAGCTGTGTTGTGTTGTGAGAAGTCTAAGAAGCCAAATTTTGACAAATGGAGGATCAAACTAATTACTTAGTGCAAGAAAAAGTGGAGAGTGAATCCTCGTCGGCAAAGAAGCGAAAACATAAAGGAGCAAAACGAAATCAGGACAGGTGACAGTAGAAAACATGGATAAACAGTGGTCTTTTCCACATGGAAATCACCGGTGAGGGACAGATGTGTTCAGAAGGTTGTCTACCTGCTGGACAGGTCATTTACTATACCAGTCTACCGGACGGCCAGGTAGGTTCTACTGCATGCTTGGAAAGGGAGGAGAGAGGGAGGGATATTTAGTTGATTGCAAATTGCAACCTCGCCACTAGATGCCACTAAATCTTACACACTGCACCTTTAATGATGATGATTTTCTTGTTTATTTACTGTTGTTTTTTTTTTTCAGTGATAATTAAAGGTCCTGATTACGGTGGAGTTTTACTGGAGGCTCGCTCAGGATCCAGAACCAATGCTTTGGGCAGCTGGGAGAGTCCACCAGCTAACACTAAATACTTACAGGTAAAACAAGCTTTTTCATAATCTTAAGTATTTATGTGTGGATTAAAAAAAGCTCAATATGAGATTAATATTCCTTTTTGATGTAATTAGTCATTTTCAGTATGCATATCATATACTAAATGTTATTAAATGTGAGTACGCTTACACTAAATTGGGATTAACAGCTAATGACTGGCCTTGGGTGATCCTCTGGGATGGTCTTTTGTTGCGTTTTGGGTTTGAGAAATCATTATAGATGCTGGATTATGTTTCTGCCAACGGTTCCTGATGCCACGCATGTTGGCATATACAGCCACATTCAATAAGTAAAATGAAAGAGTGACTGTTTTCTGCTCGGGGCTGTTTGCAAGAGCCAAACAACGTTGCAGACTAATACACAGTAACAGAGACAGTAGTTAATCACTGTCATAGTGATAAAAACAATTTTATGGCTAACATTTGGAATCATGAAGCTCACTTTCGTCACCTGACATTAAAAGGCCCACAGTCTGCATTTTTTTTAACCTTTTTTCTTCCCCACTCCCGACATACAACATTTGTGTGGTTTTATGTAGCAAAAACAGCCATAATTCATTTTTACGTGACCTCTTTTTTTATCCCTTAGAATTAAACAGGCTGCTTTTGTTACTGTCCTTTAAGGCTTATATGGGTCATTCTACAGAAACGTCCACTTTTTTATCTATCCATAGGTGTCACTGGTGTTACTGATCGTCATTGGTGTTACAAATCAGAAAGGTAACACCAGAGACATTTTTAATGAAAAATGCGTTTTACAAAATGGCTGCTACAGAGCATCAAACCACATGTCGTCAATCATGGAATGTCCACTAAAATGTATGTAATTTAATCCATTTGTATTCTATTTTTCACAATTACCTCAGAATAAAGTCGGTCACACCAGTGACTTCAGCTAAAAGCTTCATATGAAATCATGAGCTAAATGAGAAAATCTCTGATAACTGAAAGACACAGTGGACTCACCATGTGCTTTCCTTCATAGATCCTCAGAAAACAGGTAAAAAGAAGTCAAGTAACGTCATCAGTGTGATTTTTATTTCAAAATAAGAGATTTTTGTAACACCAGTGACACAACTCCTGGAGACCACAACTGTATTTTATAATATTTATTTGTTTTCATGTCATTTAAATGATAGATTTTATAGTCATGTTTAGATTATTGCATTTAAAATTGCAGAAAAACATGTTTTTTCCTTCAAAATATGGCCTCAGCCTTTACACATGACTGTGGGGACGAGCTCTTCTGTGGTGCTTGGAATTCTAGATAATTGATTTAAAAACAATATTGCTAAATTGAGGCTCAAGAAGGTGTAATTGTTAAAATAACTTGTTTTATTTTAAAACATAAATAAATTGAAACCCTAACATGGTTTTCAAGTGTAATGTATCTGTAAACGCTAGGGACACAAAAATGGAATTGGAAAATGGAAAGAAAAAAAAAATTCTATAAAATGACCCACACATGTAAATGACATCTATTTTGATTGGGTGCCCTGTATTGTCCCTTATTCAGAAATTAGCCAGGGTTGAAACACTCATTATAGCTTCAGTGAGGATAGGCAGTGCTAAACTGCTGTAGGCTGAACAGGCAGAGATACATAAAGTGTTAGTTTTTTGTGACATCACAAATATCTTGAATTCAAAATGGGCTGTTTTTGCAGCTTACTTTCCATATATGGACTGAGGAGAGAACATTTTGAAACGTTAACAGTGGTTACATACATACTGCTAGCAGGGAAAATTCAGTTTTCTATGATATGGGCTCTTTAAAGGCCTACTTGTACAATTTTCAACCTCTAATTTCAATGTTTTTGCCTGTACTTAGACAAGCACAGAAAACTCATTCACTCTAAACTCATTTATGATAGATGCCTGGACTGAAGCAGCTGCCCATTGACCTCTATTATAAGTGAGTTTAGAGTCAGCGGGTTTTATAAGTACAGAGAAATGTGCAGATTACTGTAATGTTTATACTACAGATACAGGTTGAAAATTGCTGGAATATTCATTGCTGTTTTTAGTTTTCCCACTGCAGCTTCATGTGGTACATTTTATATTTACTCACTGTTTCCTTTTCACACCATTAATCTTTTTATTCCTCAGTGCTCAGGAAACAATCAAGGTGCCATCACGCATTCCAACGCCAACATGAAGAGCAACCTCACCGTTTACACCTGGATCCCTCCAGAAACCTCCAACAGCATCTATTTCGTGTGAGTGACCAGATTACTGGACATATACAGTACTGCACAAAAGTCTTGCTCATCTAAGCAATTTTGTAAAGCCAATTTTCTTGATTGTGTTTCACCATTTCCAAAGCTTTCCTCGAGGAAGTCCAGTATTTACAGTTTCCTGCCAGTGCCTAGTTCATTCAATGAAATCAGGTGTGCCAGTATCAGATTTGAAGAAAACTATGCAATTTCTACTCCTTTACAGATTTTGAAAATGCCAGCTGCTCTTAACAACAGGCTAAAGTATCATGAAGAGTGGACCAATAGAAAAGCTCCATAACATTATGACCACCTCCTTGTTTCTACGCTCATTGTCCATTTTATCAGCTCCACTTACTATATAGGTGCACTTTGTAGTTCTACAGTTACAGACTGTAGTCCATCTGTTTCTCTGCATACTTTGTTAGCCCTCTTTTACCCTTTTCAGTGCTGCTGGAGTTTTTAAACACCTCAGTGTCACTGCTGGACTGAGAATAGTCCACCAACCAAGTTCCTGTATGAATGTGATGTGACAATAAATGTGAATGGTTTGATATATACACACATACATTTTTAAGAGGGTGGTCTCTGACTATAACATTATATTGGGCTGCATAAATATTTTAAATATTTTAACAGTCTTATTCATTTGAAAGGGTTTATTTTTTTCATTTTGCTTTGTTTTTCAGGGCCACTGTAGCCAAAGACCGATCCGTTTACTGGTTAAATGTCAAGTCAGCCACTCTGACCAGAGGTAAGAAACACCCTTAAAAATCCAACTGTCTTTTTCAGTAAATGGGAGACATTTTGATGCATAAAGACTGTAAATACATGGTAGAAAACTATTATAGGAAACATACATATCCCCTAATTACTGTTCCCTACTCTGGAGCACCATATAGAACACAATTATAGAGAGCGGAAATAATCCCTTACTGCCAGCTGCTACACTGGAGCACCGTAAAGAACACTATTATAGAGAACGGAAATAATCCCTAATCACTATTCCCTACACTGGAGCACCGTAAAGAACACTATTATAGAGAGCGGAAATAATCCCTAATCTCTATTCCCTACACTGGAGCACCGTAAAGAACACTATTATAGAGAACGGAAATAATCCCTAATCACTATTCCTACACTGGAGCACCGTAAAGAACACTATTATAGAGAACGGAAATAATCCCTAATCACTATTCCTACACTGGAGCACCGTAAAGAACACTATTATAGAGAACGGAAATGGCACCTATTTACTATTCCCTACATTAAAAATAAGCAGCACTACATATTATATCTATTATAACTATTATAGGGTCCCTAATAACTATTCCCTATGGCATCACTGTGCCAGTGTGAATAATTTATAGCATGGAGCATTATGGGTATTTCACATGTGCTAGGATGTTCTCCACTATGTTTTCGGACCACTACAAAATCATTTCATCATTTTGGCGTAATTTTACTGTTTGTCTGCTATTCACTCTATTTGTGACCTTTGACCTGTTTTTTGTCCCCCCTCAGATGGAGCTGTGGGAGCCGGCTCTGCTGCTGATCCTAAGATGGCCACTGCACCTGTGCTTCTCGTTCTCACCATGCTGGCGTCAACGTTGTTTCAAAGCTAGGAACAAAGAAACAGCATCAGGTTACCAGCAATTCAGCCTTTGGGAAACGACACCATGCACTTATATATAATTACCAATAAACACACGTACGTACACGTGTTCGCTTTAGTGTGTGGCTTGTTCTGAAAGAGATCAGTGACAATGAGAGGAGAGCAATTACAAAAACATTGTTTGGATTCTTTTGTTTGTGAGTATGTATATCTATATGTTTGTGTGTCCTTAAACGGGCATTCCGACTTAAAAACAAGAATGTCATATTTTATTCATCTTGATATGCATTATTCTGTAGCGCAGCATTACAGAAAAGATACATTTGCATATATTTTACAGTCAAGAAAATACATGACAAATGTGTTGTAATATAGTCACAGTCATATTAAAATACATTCTTTAAATTGCAATATATTCTCAAATGTTTTCCAAAAAAAATACATTTTGACGTATGTTAAGAAGAGTAGACTTTAGTACTCTACAATCCATTATTTGTTAAAGTTTTTATGGTAATAACAAATTACAACTAATCCAATTACTTCAAACAAGAGTTCTGTAGATTCATTACTCTTAACCCTTTAATGTTCTGCTCAACCATTTGGTAGAGCACATTTTGAGTCACTATACAGTATATGCCACAAAGTGCCATCTCGACCATTTGGTAGACGTGAATATTTTTAAAATTATGGGGTCAAAAAAAATGAAAAAGAAAAACACAAATTGTTTTTATTATTGCCCCAAACAAAAAACAAAATGCAAATATAAATAAATAATCCATTGCTTTTTTCTTGGTTAGGACATTAAAGGGTTAAAATACTTTTAAATTAATTTTTTAGTAATGTGACATATATTTATTGGGCCAATTTCATATATATATATAAATGATTTTATATCATTTTCATGATTTGTTATGCGGTTATTCTTACTCATATACCCATGACACAAATCGCTGTTGTCGGAAGAAAACCTCGTATCTCCAAACTTTAAAGGAGAAGGAAAAACCTACTTTACTTAATGTAAGTCAATGGAACCAGACTTTTTTTTCCCAAGTCACTTTGGGCTGTTTCTTTTGGTCCATTCATCATGAAATTTACATGCAATGTAAAGGGCAAAAGATATTTTCAAATTATGTCAAAAACTATAAAACGACAAAAATGGAGATACTAGGATTTCTTCTGACAGCAGCAAAACCCATCATACAACCACTGGGAATCCCTGTGGTTTTAATCAATCCTAATGCTAGCCTAGCCACTCTGCTATAGGCTAATAAATATAACCAAATATTACCATTGGTGTAACTCTTACCTTGAAACCAGAGACACAGTTTAACCCTTTTAGTCAGAGACTATACGCCAAACTGAGGTAAGGCATCTAGCCTAACTTTAGCCTTTAGCTTATTGTCCTCCTCATCTGATGCCTCATTTTGTTTGAGCACCCCATTCTCTTCACTGTAACGCTGATTTGAGGATCGTTACCAGCAAAACAGCAGCAGATATTTAGCTGCTTCCTAATTTTAGCGCTCAGGTTTCCTTCTATTCACTAGCAAGCAAAAAAATAATCCTTAAACCAGAAAATCTCAACTGGGCAGAGAGGCTGGGCAGCGCTGCAGGATGCTAGCAGCCATGTTTACAACAGATGTAGCTATGGTAATTTTTCTTTTGGCCACAGTGGGGATGTTTTTTAGTAGCTGGTGAAAGCAGGAGGAAGCTAACGTTGCTGCTAAGGAGCCGATTATCTTATTACAGCTGTGGTAACTGACTTCAAATCATCATTAAGATGCTGATAATGATGAACTCAAACAGAAGAAATGATTTGTCAGGTGAGGGGCACAAAGCTAAAAGCTGAAGTTGCCTATACTGAAATCCGATCTACAGCAATATATGGATTTTAGTCTTAAAAAAGATGGTTCTTCAAGAGTTCTTTAGCATGGGGAATGGTTCTATTTAGAACCATTTCATGCTTAAAGGGATGTTTGTATGGTGAAGTGGTACTTCAGATTGATGGAGAATGTATTGTATATGATTCTATGTAGCACCAAAAAGGATTCTTCCATTGTTACAAGCGTGACATTGTGACAATAGCAAAACCCTTTTGGGTGCTAAACAGGACCATTTTGCAAAAAGGTTCTGTATAGAACCAAATACAACACATTCTCCATTGATCTGAAGAACGATTTTAGCATGCAAGCAACCATTTAGATATCATATGTTTCTATTCATATGGAACTATTCCCTTTACTAAAGAACCCTTGAAGAACCATCCTTTTTTAAAATATGAACTTCCCTTATATCCAACTTGGATTTTACCACATAAGGATATACATGTGACACATACGACATTTCAGTCAAAATTAAACAAACACAACACAACTATTAAAAAATATATGACAGAAAACATTATTCATATGGATTGAATATGTCACTAGCTTCATATTACTTTTTATAACATAACTTTTATAACTTTATAACTTTTTTGTATTTCATTTTTGTTTTTTGTTTTGAAAATCTTTCACTGTTTGTAACAGATGTAGATAATTTAGAATAAATATGATCCATATTTTATTGTTCTATTTTATTTATTGATTCTAAATGCATATATGTCCAATATTTGATATTTAAATATACACTGTAAAAAGTGTCTCATCAGATCTACCTAAGAAAATGACTTCATGTGGTAAACAAGCAACAGAACTAGTTTTATTCAACTTAAAAAACTACATTGAGAGAATCCGTCATTTAAAGTATTTATTTAGGTTTAATAAAACTTTAATTTACTTGTTACCACATGAAGTCATTTTTTAGGTAGATCTGACAAGACACTGTTTACAGTGTACACTATATGGACAAAAGTATTGGGGAACCCCTCCTAATTGTTGAGATAAATATGTTAGGAGCTTCACAAAATGGGTTTCCATGGCCGAGCAGCTTCACACAAGCCTAAGATCAAAATGCACAGTGCAAGCGTGGGATGTAGTGGTGTAAAGCGCCGCCTCTGGACTCTGGAGCAGTGGAAACGTATTCTGTGGAGTGACGGATCACGCTTCTCTATCTGTCAGTCTGATGGACGAGTCTGGGTTTGGTGAATGCCAGGAGAACGTTACCTGCCTGACTGCATTGTGCCAACTGTAAAGTTTGGTGGAGGAGGGGTTATGGTGTGTGGTTGTTTTTCAGGGGTTGGCCTAGGCCCCTTAGTTCCAGTGAGAGGAAATCTTAATGCTTCAGCAGACCAAGATATTTTGGACAATTGTATCCTTCCAATCTTGTGGGAACAGTTTGAGGAAGAACCTTTTCTGTTCCAGCATGACTGAGCCCCAAAGCAAGGTCCATAAAGGCACAGCTGGGTGAGTTTGGTGTGAAAGATCTTGACTGGCCCACACAGAGCCCTGACCTCAACCCCATCGAATGCCTTTGAGATGAACTAGAACACAGATTGTGAGCCAGACCCTCTCGTCCAGCATCAGACAGTGCACACAAATGCTCTTCGGCATGAATGGGCAAAACTTTCCACAGACACACTCCAACATCTTGTAGAAAGCTTCCCAGAAGAGTGGAAGCTGTTATAGCAGCAATGACAACTGGCACACTATGTATATGACCATATATTTTGGAATATATGACTATGACTGTTTATGATACATGTGCATGTATGACCATATATTAGATTTCCTACCAGATGTTTCCTCACTTTGGCTTCTGTTCTCTTGCATCTGTTTTGTACTGAATAAAGACAGAATTGCTGTTTTCTTCACCGTTTCATTCAACAACTGTGGAAAGAGTCACACTAACGCTAGCTTGGTTGTATTTATTGGCCTATAGCTTTGGCTAAGCTAGCAGTCATGTAGGCCAAGCACAGCTGGGATTCCCAATTGTTGTTGTGCAATGTGTTTATGTAATGTACAATACATATATTAAACAACATTAAACTCTAGTTTGAGGCTGGAATGTCCCTTAAAGAATAGAAAAGGCCATAAGAATCTAAAAATGTTCAGGTATGGTTTAGGTATGGATACAAATTGTATGCATAATAAAAAAAATGCTATGGAAATGTTTATTATAATAGCTTATGGATGTTCCTAGAATGTTGCTAGGAAAAAATGTCTGTTATTCCAGCTTTTAAAGCCATTCTGAGATTATCCCAATTACTTTTTTTCAGTTGGGAAACTACTGCATCACCAAAGTGCCTGAACAAGGTGAATCACTTGCTTTTATTTTTTTATAAGTACAAAGTTTTGTAATGTTAAATTGTGACACTTTCTGTCAACTATAATTAAAGAAACGAGCAACTTCTTTCAAAAGTAATGTGTGAGTTTATCTCAGTATTTCACTTTTACAGTGGAATTAAATCTGATTAGAATCTAATTATCATAAATTTGTGCACCATAATTGCTAGATTAAGGTGTTGGAACTGATTCCGACGCCCTTCGAATGTGATAAATGTGACAATGTGACAAATAGCTTTTTGGTAATTTTCTCATTGTTTAAAGTTGGAGGAATAAATTAGCAAAAACACATGCCAAAAAGGTTATTTAAAATCAGCGCTGCTGCTCCGACGCAAGAGGAAAGGGGAACTGGAAAAAGTTGTGAGTGAAGAACTCAGCATGACGTTCGAATGTGAGAGGAGGCCAGCTGAGATCATGTGTCTCACACGCTCTCGGGCCCGGAGGCCCAAGGCATCTCCGGCATCTCCCACCACCTAAATGTTAGTGCAGCAAAATGCCAACATGTCAGTACCTGCTGCGCATAAACCAGCCACAGTGAACCTCCACTTACAGACACATGCTGATCTGAAATCAGCCACTAAAATATAGTTTTAGGGTCTTAGTGTGACATTTGACCCAAATATCAGTAAATATATACACAAATCTAAACGGACTCTCAAATGTCTCCCTATTCCCTATATAGGACACTACATGGGTCATGAAATAAGGCCTTCTGCACCCAAACAGTGCATATATATATATACATATATATATACATATATATATATATATATATATATATATATATATATATATATATATATATATATATATATTGTAAGTGCAATTTGGGTTGAGCCATGTGTACACAGACCCCTACTGGTGTAGAAGCCACAGGCCTGGTTTCAATAATTGCACACTGTGATTTTCCAAAATATATGCATACTTACAGTGAACAACAATCATTCAGAGTAGTTTGGTGTGAAATTGTAAATTGAAAAGGTTGATTGTAGAGACTACAGCCATTTTATTTACTATCCAAAACCACCAGTGAGTCTTCTAAGTTTTATATCATCGTTGTGGGAAGAAAACCTCGTATCACCAAAATGGTAACTTTACAGGAGAAGGAAAAAACATACTTTACTTTTAATGTAAGTCAATGGAACCAGACATTTTTTCAGGTCATTTTGGGCCGTTTCTTTTGGTCAATTCTTCATGAAATTTAACAACGATGTAAAGAGAAACATACAATTCAAATTATGTCAAAAAC